GGAAACTAGAACCAGTCCATCCTAAAGGAAATCAACCCTGAGTATCATTGGAAGGACGATGCTGAAGCTGAAGCCCCAATACTTTGGCCACCTGATGTGAAGAGCCGACTCACTGGAAAAGACCCCGATCCTGGGAAAGATTGAAGGAAGGAGCAGAAGGGAGCAACAGAGGATGAGATAGCTGGATGGCATTCACTGACTCAGTGGACATGAGTTTGAGCAAACTCCAGGAGATAGTGAAGGACAGGGATGCCTGGCATGCTGCAGTCCATGGGGTTGCAAAGGATCAGGCACAACTTAGCGACTAATCGACAATAGCAAGGAGTATGGTGTATGGTCAGCATCCTAAGAGTGATATGTGGGACCCAATTCAAGAAAAAGTAACTGACCTTGAAAAGTGAAGCCAGCCCTTCTACTGTACCAAGGAGAAAGACTACAGTTTGCAACTAGATATAGATGGGCTTGTAGGAGACAGAGGGGGAGGGAATTCTTGTCTAAATTTTTTTTTTATTCTCTCTGTATATAAGACATAAAGCCATCTTGTAGCAGAGAGGCATGAGCATCCAGGATTTGAGGCCAGGAAAGAAAGTTTGAGAAACTTTCTGTGAATATTGAAACTGGGTAAGTGGTGGTCTTATTGACAGGCAGCATTGAACTTCTATTTGAGTTTGCTGAATATGAACTTGCAGCATCATTCTACCCTGTTCATTTTTTTTTCAAACTGTATTCTGCTCCTTGTGTTCAGGCACAGAGAAAGGCAATGATAGATTTCAGCTAAGGTGGAGTGGAGGGTGTGGGCTTTGGAACAAAAGAGTTCAGGGAATTTTGAATCTTGGGTGGTTCATGGGCCAGCGCTCTGAAGGATTAAATCGCCCAAAATGATGGCAGAGTTTGGGAAGACAAAAAAAAAAGACCATCAACCCAGCGTGGGTAGGTGGAGAAACTTCCACATAAGGAAGATTCTGAAGAAGTTGATAGATGGCAAAGATCTGTAAGAGAAGACCATAACATAGCTGAATCGTATAATCTTCCAAGAGAAGGAGCTGTGTTTTATTGAGGTGTGGGGGAGGGGTGGCTTCCTAGGTGGTGCAGAGGTAAGGACTCCACCTGCCAAGCAGGAGATGTAAGAGATACAGATCCAGTCCCCGGGTCGGGAAGATCCCCTGGAGTAGGAAATGGCAACCCACGCCAGTATTTCTGCCTGGAAAATCCCATGGACAGAGGAGCCTGGCGGGCTACTACAGTCCGTGTTGTTTCAAAAAGTCAGACAAGACTGAGCATGCACACACACATGCATGCGCATTGTATTTTTTAGCAAAAGGGTGGAGGGAAAGAAACCGCAAGCCCTAAACATGAGGGTCGCGGCCAAGAGGGAGGGGTAACTTGACCTGCCACTGCTGCTGAAGTCTGCAATGGAAGCAGTATCCTGCGGGGACAGTTAAGCTTCAGGAAAGGCAAATGGGTGGTGGTTTACGAAATTGTAATTGCTGAGAATACAATTGAAATGCATGGACGTAGACCCAGGAGTTCCAAATTCCCACCTCCTCATTTCTTCAGGAGGTGAGAGCTACTTTGAAGCAGGTTCTACTTTGCCTGCCCTAGTTGAATGCTTTAGAGATCTTGGAGAGAAAAGGTTATGGATATCTGGCCACACTATTAATTAATTGTTATGGGGGAGGCTGTTCAATTCTTATCTGAGCCACAAATGACATGGGTAGTCGAGGAGTGCAGCAGAAGAAAGAATGCATTCTTTTTTCATGTACAAGAATGGCAACTCAGAGTATGAAAGCAGAAGCAAAATTAATAGAATTCATCAGCTTAACCTGGATTTAGAAGATTCTGAAGGAAAACAATGGGAACTCCCTGATCATGTGCAGTATCATCGCTTTAGGGAAAGAGAATCTGTTCTGACTTTGTGCAGTTGGTAGTGAAAAGCAAGAGTTTCCCTGACAAGTGTGTTTATCAAGTCCACCTGCAGTGTCATTTTGTACGCTAGGTTGCAGCCCCTGTCATTCTCTCCATGCTGATTTAACATGATGGACTTGTTTGGCAACTCTTTCAGGTGGTGGGAGGACAGGAAGAGGAGGAAGCTTACTCTGGGTCATAAAATAAAAGAGTGGCCTTGCTTGTATACTCTACTCTTCCTTCTCCTTACCCTCCTTGATCATCACGGTTGTTTGTAGGAAAGAAAATGGATGGCTAAGCGATGTGATTCCATGAGCCTGCTGATGAGTTGTTCAGAGCACTGTGGAGAGAATGCACCTAGTGCTGTCTGGTTTGACTTGAATTTCTAGGTCAGGGAGAAAAAAAAAGTTTGATAAGTCCTTTAATCTGCATCTCAGGGAATTTCACTGTGTCCTCCTGTGTCTGTGTTCTCATCCATCTCTCCCACCATGATGGCCAGTACCAGCCAGTAGCAGCTGGCTTCTGTTAAGTGCTATATGATACACACTGTTCTGAGCACTTTGTGTTCATTTATTTTCCCTCAATAAGTCTGATATTATCTACTCACATTTTCAGAATGTGCAGCTGAGATTCAGGGATGTTAGATGATCAGCCCAGGATCACACGGCTCATTAGTGGCAGAACCTACATTCTGGGCAAGATGTGTCTCTAGATGCCACATTCTTTACTAAAAACACTCTAGATCTGCACAGCCCAGCAAGCGTAATGAGAGCCACATGTGAAGTATTACACTTCCTAGCAGGTATGGTGAAAAGTTCAAAGAAACAGATGTAATTAATTTTAATTACATATTTTATGAAACCCAATATATCCAGAATATTATCATTTAACATGTGACCATTATTAAAAAATATTGCTATGATATTTTGCATTTATGTTTCATACTAAGTTTTTGAAGTCCGTTGTGTTTCATAGAGCACCTGTCAGTTCAGACTAGCCACATTTCAAGTGCTTGATAGCCGCTGCAGGCTAGTGGCTGCCACACCGGACAGAGTTGCTCTAGACTCTGTTTATGGAGATGGAGTTCTTAATCACACAGGATTTGCTGAGTTTATTACAGATTTTGCTTTAAGAACAATGAAGGCTCCTGTATGTGTGATTAATCTCTGTAATAGAATGTGACACAAGCTTGATGGAGCCCATCCTTCTCTCATGCCTTTCCTGAGTGCCAGCCTTCTTTTCTAATGGTGTGTGTTCATTTCCACAATAAGTTTCCACAAAATTTATAGAGTCTAAGAAGTGCTTTATGATACAAAGTAAATGAAACAAAAGCAGACTCTTGCCATAGTTTATACACAGACACACACACACACGCGCGCACATACTTGCACACACACATACATACACACACACATACATACATACATATGGACTTCCCCAGTGGCTCAGTGGTAAAGAGTCCGCCTAAAATGCAGCAGATGCGGGTTCAGTCCTTGGGTTGAGAAGACCCCTGGAGAAGGAAATAACAACCCACTACAGCATTCTTGCCTGGGAAATCCCGTAGACAGAGGAGACTGACAGGCTACAGCCCATGGGGTTGGAGAGAGTCAGACACAATTGAGTGACTAAGCACAGCACGCACGCGCGCACACACACACACATACACACACACATATATGTAAATGTTTATATGTAGGTATAATATATAGGTTTATTTCCCCGTGGGCTTCCCTTGTGGCTCAGCTGGTAAAAATCAGCCTGCAATGTGGGAGACCTGGTTCGATCCCTGGGTTGGGAAGGTCCCCTGGAGAAGAGAATGGCTACTCACTCCAGTATTCTGGCCTGGAGAGTTCCATGGACTGTATAGTCCATGGAGTTGCAGAGTCAGACATGACTGAGTGACTTTCACTTTCACTTGTATCTCCTTACTGTTTTATCTTGAGCAATTATTCAGTCTCCGTGGATTTTATTTATTTGGTCTGTTACCTGTTCTTAAAGTTTTTGTTTTTTTTTTAAAACAAGGCAAAGTGAAATTATGCATTTCCTATAATACATGAATTGTAGGAAGTGATTAATGTGCTGTTATTATACATCTATGTTCAAAGTCTTTGTATAGTAACTACCAAAAATCAGTATGAACAGAGTTCCTGTGAATACAAGAGCAGGGTATATACTATATAGAAGTTACAAAATAATTTTGCAAATAACCTATATCTGTTTGGGGACAGGTACTGTTATACATAAAGTGAAGTTGACCATTCTCAATGTGAGGACTTGCTTATTAATCTTTTTGTCTCTTCCTGTAAGTGTATTATATTGAAATCTATTTTGAAAGCCTCAGATAGTGACTGTCTCAAAATTTCTGCAGTTCTACCTTAAGATGTGCAATTTGATGGGTAGAAAGCGAGAAGAACCTTTATGCCTTTATATATTTAATAATTGTGAGGTGACAAGTAATTTTTATGCTTTTATTTTTTCCAAATAAAAAGTACTTATATGGTATATAAACAAAATCATCATCATTGTACAGGCATTTGAATGATCTTAGAGTAATTTTTGAGGAAGGCATGGCAGCCCACTCCAGTATTCTTGCCAGGAGAATCCCCATGGACAGAGGAGCCTGGCAGGCTACAGTCCATGGGATCGCAGAGTCAGACATGACTGAGCGACTAAGCACAGCACAGCACAGAGTAATTTTTATTACACATCTTCTTTTTAAAAAACCCGCTTATAAATTAATGTCATAGGAAATTCTTGTCTCAGCAGCCTGTGGTGGTAGATTTCAATATACCTGCCTTGCATGTGTCCAGCAACAGGGTACTAACAAACTATTTCTATTCTGTTTATGATACCTAATAAAGGGCAGTCAACCATGGTAATACTACCTACAAGATCATTGAAGTTACACATAAATGTCTACCCATGTTGTTTTTAAAATTGAACAAACAGGTGGTTATTTGTCATTGATGGACAAGTCACTCCATATTCATAATTTGCTTTCAGTCTCAATCATTGATCTGTGGAAGATTTAAGGATATATCCATCTTCTTTTCCCTCTGAACTAACCTTATTTTTATCTGTCTATTCTCCTGCAGAGGTTACTACATAATAATTGTGCCTTTGAAGAAATCTCGTGGGAAATTTATCAAGCCATGGGAGAGTCCAGATGAAATGGAATTAGATGAGGTAACTGTGTTTTGGGTGGTATCTTTTATTAGTTTCTTAATTTTTAAAATAAATCTCTCCTCTCTATGGAGACCTTTCAGCATCTGATCTGGGTGGATCAGCTCCTACATGGCTGGCTGGTCGACTGCCTACTTGAATGGTTCAGTGCTATGGGCGTGTTAACCTCTTGGGATCCCAACAAAGAGCTTTTTCTTTAATTAAAAGACATTAAGCTGCTGTAAAGCTTACAACCTATCTAATCTTTGTTGGCTTTAATATTTTGCCCCTTGCTCCTTGTAAAACGTAATGCAGAGGTGTGGAAGAAGTGAATTGTCAGCAAAGACTTAATCACCACCGTTAGGAATTCCAAGGTCCACTTCATTAGTGCAGTAGTAGTTGAGGCTGTTAAAAATGCTAAGTTACAGTTTGCACCAGAGTTCAAGACTTGACCTACTGTGTATTTTTGGCCAACTGCTGACAGAATTGTGCTGATGAGCACATTTTACTTCCTTCTGTATTTTATAGGATTTCAGAATCAAAAATGCATATAACTTTAGGAACAAACAAAACAAATCACAGAATTTTGAGCTGAGCAAGAAATATGGTACAAAAGACAAAGGAAACATAAAGTAATATGATTTTAATTTCTAAAATCTTATAATAATAACAGTAAGTACATTGGTATTGTTTTTGCAAAAAGAACTTGTTTTTGAAAGTTAATACATACAATATAGAACAAGAGTTAATTTTTCGTACTTCCATTTAGATGAGAAAAGTGTGATTGGAAGGGTTAAGCCAGACCCTCAGAGGGCCACAGCAAATTAATGGCGGGGGTTCACATTTTGAAATACCATATAGGAGAGACTTTATGATTTTAATATGATTCTAGTCTGAATCAGTTCAGAAGTCAAATAAATGTCAAAAGCCCCTATTTGTGGAAATATGATATTTTAATGTACTGAATTTATTTACAGCATGTTGTACATCTTATAACTCAACCTGTTATTCTTAGGTATTTTCTCTCCATCAAATTAGTTCATGCAAAGCAAAGCAAAGCAGAAATTCCCTAACTGCATTACAGGGAGATGATGTTGATTTTGTTCATGTCTGCACTAAGGAGACTACGATCTTGAGAGATAAGGACTGTTAACTTCTTTTGGCAAACATATGTCATCCCTAGAAGTGTGGTTCATCATCACCCATTTCATTTATCTGACTTCAGGTTGATCAAGTTTGGAATAGGAGATGAGTTCAAGGTTAGGACTGTGTTTTGTGTCAATGTGTAGTGATTAGATAAGCATTGAAGGAGTGTAAAATGAGGCACGTCTCTATAATGTTGTCAAGTAATTTAGGCTTTATAATTTTAATTTTTTTTCCTGCTAATATTAAAGGAACAAAATCCTTTTTATGCTGTCAGAGGAGTCTATCTGAAAATGCCAGTTGATGAGCTGTTCTGTAAACAGTTTGAAACAAGTCATGGTTTATTTGCAACTGATCAGTTAATCCTAACATATTCTTTATTATTTTAATAAGTTCTCAGCTGAAATACAGAATTCAGTTGGAATTGGATTTAAAATGGAAAGGCAACTTATAAAATCTGACTCTTTCTATCTATTAAAAAAAAAGTTTCCAAGAAGTTAAGATCCAAGCCAAAAATGACATCAAATACTTTAAAAAAAAAAAAAAAAACAAAAAAAGCTTTCCTTAGAAGTAGAGCCATTTGATAGTAAGTAATAACAAGCTGATTCTCTTTTATAGCCAGGTTTTAACCTCCGAAATGTACAGCAATTCTAATGGATTAAAGTATAGAGCTATATGACATTGAACTTTCTTGCAATTAAATTCTCTGGGTCTCTGCTGCTCATTCCCATAACAAAGGGTCATTTTAATCATCCCACAAGTTGTGGTGCATTAATCTGTATAATAGTTTGATAAAGAACATTTATTAATTCAAAATTTTGGGGTCAGGATGGGTTCTTTCCCACTTTTGTTGCTGATATAATTGAGACCACATTGTAGAATTAATGGTGGAAGAAATAAGATATGCATTGACTGGAAAATGAAAATTATTTCTGATACAAAACTAAAGCCCTTATATATCTTCTGGAATTACCTCCAGTACATCTTGTAACCATTGTGGAGGGGAACAAATGAAAGGAGGCTATGGCCTCACTTTGTGCTTACTCATCCAGTTTCTGATTCCTACGGACAAGTTTTTTTTTTTTTTCCCTCCCATGGATAATAAAAGCATTGTAGTAATTTTATCTATAGCTTGGTACTGCCAAGTTTGACAAAGCAGTGTTCCTCTCTTAAATGTATTTGACCAAGTGATTTTTCAGAAAGGCCTATAATTCAAATCACTGAAACCCTATCATTGAATAGAATGGTGGCCTGAGGGGATTTCCACATGTGTGCTTCACATCGAGGCCCATAAAAAATAGAAAGAGGCTTTCTAAACAGAGTCACTCTCAGTATTGTCTTCTGAGCTCATTTATCCTTTGTCTGGGGATAATCTTCACATAATAAATTCATAGACTGGAACTCTTAGTTGTCAAGGTCAGACTGGGCAGAGCAGACCTTGATAGTCAAAATGAATTTTGGACAGAATGACTCCTAAAAATGTTAGTTATATTTAATTCAGGGCAAGTCTTGTAATATATCATAAGCTTTTCATCGCATTGTACTTCAAAGGCTTGCTATAAAATAATGTGGTCATTTGTGGTTGTAACTTGAACACACTGGCTCACTTCATGTCATCTGAGCACACTTGACCCATTTACAGTATCACACAAGAAGCATCCCACAGACATTAGGGCAGCCTGAGGCTCCAGGTTTGACCTTAGGGAATGGCAGCATTGGGCCTAAGGGGGACCAAAACGCTAAAATATTTTAAGGTACTTCCTCTAAGTCTTCTGAAGAAACCCCAGCAAAAGGTACTCACTCATGACAGTGATATGGATGAATTATGACAGTTGCCTACATCTGAAGTATGAATAAAATCAAGGTAGGGTTTGATCAGTGGAGGAGAAGAGGGGACACAGTTGCATAAACAACTGATGGTAAATGTTTCTGATTAACCGACTTCAAAAAGCTTTTCAGCTCATCTGTACTGCATTTGTCCTTCTCAAAGTAATGGCCCATCATCTCCTACATATCAGCAAGAACCTATGTAGTGACTTTTCAAGTATATGTTAAACATTTACATCAGAATTTTAAAAAATATTTAAAGAATCCAGGAAAAAAAGCAAGCAGGCATTTTTCTGTGTTAATGAAAGCAGATACACAAAAATTATATATTTAAGTATAGACTCAGTTAAAACAATTAAGAGTATTAATTTAGCCTAATGTTGCATTTGTGTTTCTTTAATATTGTGCAGCCTCCATGTAAACAAAAATATGGTTGGAAAAAATGCCTTACAAGTAATTTCATTTTACCAATTGAATCCAATATTATTACTTTCTATTGTGCCTCAGTTTCCTCATTTATATAGAGGTAATAATAATCTATTTTATAAAGTTTTTATGAGTAAATAAAATAAGCTATGTTTAGTCTCTTGAGAATGGTACCTGGCACCTAGTAAGTGCTTAACAAATACAATTATTATTGCCATTATCATCATTATTATAAGAAAACCTAAATTTGACAACAGGATCAAAAGATAGTGCTATGTTTCTGGACTAGCTTTATTATAGGCCAGCTGGTCCATAATTGATCAGTCTATCTGAATTTATCATCAGATGGTCCAATTGTGCTAAAGAAGCGTACTGTGGTTTTCTTAAAAGAGCTTACATGTTAAGTAATTTTAATTGTATCAATAAACTCAAATTTAACAGAAAATTTGAGAACATTATAAATTAAATTGAATAACATGGGCACAAATTATATATATATATAACCAAAAGAGTGATTTTTACATTTTTAGGTGATAATTTTGACCAGCTTAGCACATTTACAACTTTGTGTTAGAGACAAGTTTACCATCCAGTTCCTAACAGAAGGTCTTGGTATTTGCCATGTGTATAGTCTGCAGCTGTTTTTATTACAGAAGCCTGGCCTTCATTGTGTAGGGTCTCAGATACACAGTCTTCTCTACAGAGGTACTAAAATAAATCAGCATTCTTTCAAAAAACAATTAAGTTGCCTCTTACATTCAAAGGCAACTCAAGACTGCTATAACTTACCCTAAGCCCTATAAAATATCAATATTTAATGGGAGCAGAATTGTCATATCATTAACATGATTTTCTCCAAATAGTAACTACAAAAACAATAGAGTATCAAACCATAATTTGTAGGGTTTTTTTTTTTTCCCCCGGTTAAAAATACGTGAAGGATTTGTGTGTATGCATGTTTATGTTTGTTTCATTCCGGGTAATATAATTATTTTTTTCTCTAACCTGCCCTTTTATCACCTAGCTAGATAATTTAACATCTCCAGAGAGCTGTGAGCTCTGAAAAAACTTGCTGTCATGATAAATGCAAGGAATTGTACCCTAAATGGTTAAATCAAGGAGACAAGTCAAGCCAAAAGTTGTTAAATAAGTGACAATGTCTATTTAAAATGTTAATTAAAAATTGGTCATCAGAGTCTATTTTTTATGTTTATTTGAGGGACTATACATCATACAAATTATGTCATTATTAACTCTTCAAAATGTTGGTCTTTGACTTTTTCTGAGGTTAGTACTTGTTTAATAAATCACAGTGATAAAGCCTGCATGACAGGCTTTTGTGAATCAAACTGACTTTTTTTCCGTAGACAAGTTGTAACGCTTTCTTGTCCTTTGAAAGGATTTCATTAGAATGGACAATGATGTGAGCTACCAGTAAAGGATCTAATTGCCCTCTGTTTATAGCCTGAGCCTTACCCTAACAGCAGGACAGGCATTTGGAAGGCAGACTGAAATTTAGTAATGCTGACACACATGAGAAGTGGACACATTGAATTTGGGTTGTTCCCAGCCCTGAATTAATTTCCCTTATTAAGCTGTCATTAAGTTGGGTTATTGTTGTTTACATTTCTTTCTCCGTTTCCCACTTTTTCCCTTTAAGTTGCTTAAAGAGATATCTAGGAAACGCAGAAGCCTCCGTCATGGAAGAGAAGTTGAATTAAAGCCATATATTGCCGCTCATTTTGATGTCCTTCCCACCGAGTTCACCCTGGGGGATGACAAACATTATGGTGGATTTACAAACAAGCAACTCCAAAGTGGTCAAGAATATGTCTTCTTTGTGTTAGCAGTGATGGAACACGCAGAGTCTGTAAGTGAAATGTGATGGCATCCATATTATTTTTTGTGGTATTCCTAAATACATTTTTCACCAGAATGTGGGGATATGGAGCTACATGCATCCTAATTGTTTCTCATGAGATTTAACTTAAATGTAGTAACAGGCTGTCTACTCTTTGAATGTTGCTGAGTAATCTGCTTGTGATTTCATTACAGATAAGGCTGTGTCTCTAATCACAGGACACTTAGGTGGATTTCTAGTTTATGAAGTCCAGATCGATAGTGCATGGTGGTGTTTGTTTCTTGTTTTTTCTTCTTCTAGCATTTGTAACTCAACCCCAGACCCCCATCTTGCCCCAAGTCCCTTCTCACTCTCCACTGGTAACCCCTAGTTTGTTCTTTATATCTGTGAGTCTGCTTCTGTTGTGTATTCATTAGCTTATTTTACTATTTTAGATTCCACATGTAAGTGATATCATATGGTATTTGTCTTTTTCTTTCTGACTTATTTCACTAAGCATGATTCTTCCTAGGGTCATCCATGTTGATGAAGATGACATAATTTTTTATGACTGAGTAATATTCCATTGTGTGTGTGTGTGTGTGTGTGTGTATAACATTTTCTTTACTCATTCATCTGTAATGATTAGAGACATTGAGCATCCTTTCATGTGACTGTAATCTGTATGTCTTCTTTCAAAACCATGTCTATTCAGGTATTCTGCTCATTTTTAACTGGATTATCTTTTTAATTTTTTTTAAAATATTGAGTTTTATGAGCTGTTTATATTTTGGATGAGGTGAGGTGAGGTAAAAGTCGTTCTGTCGTGTCCAGCTCTTTGGAACCCCATGGGGTGTAGCCTGCCAGGCTCCTCTGTGCATGGAACTCTCCAGGCAAGAATACTGGAGTCGGTTGCTATACCCTCCTCCAGGAGATCTTCCCAACCCAGGGATCAAACCCAGGTCTCCCACATTGCAGGCAAATTCTTTACCAGGGAAGCCCTATATTTTGGATACTAAGTAGTTAGCAGTCTTGTCATTTGCAAATATTTTTCTCTTTCAGTAGTTTATCTTGTTTTGTTGATGGATTTCTTTGCTGTGTAAAGTTTAATTAGGTCCTTTTTTTCCTTTTTATTTCTTTTGCCTTAAGAGATTAAACAAAAAAAGATACGATTTATGCATTTCCTGCCCGTCTTCTCTTCTAGGAGTTTTCTGGTTTCAGGGCTTACATTTAGGTCCTTAATCCATTTTAAGATTATTTTGGATATAATAAGGGAGGAAGTAAGTGAGGGAATATTCTAATCTCATTCTTTTATATGTAGTTGTCTAGCTTTCCTAGCACTACTTATTGAAAAGACTATCTGTTCTCCATTATATAGTCTAACCTCTGTGGTAAAATAGTTTACCATAGGTGCATGGACTTATTTCTTGAGTCTGTTTTCTTTTCCATTGATCTATTGGTCTGTTTTTGTGCCAGTACCATGCAATTTTGATTACTACAGCTTTATAATGTAGTCTGAAGTCAGGAAGCATGATTCATCTAGCTTTGTTCTTTTTTTCTCAATATCGTTTTGACTTTTCAGAATCTTTTGTGGTTTCATATAAATTTTAGGGTTATTTGTTTTTGGATCTGTGAAAAATGCCATGGGTAACTTGATACAATTTGCATTAAGTCTATAGATTACCTTCAGTAGTTTGGACATTTTATAATATTAGTTCCTCCAATCCAAGGACAGATGACATCGTCCCAATTCTTTTTATCATTTTTCAAATTCTTTCATCAGTGTTTTATAGTATAGGTCTTCAAAGTATAGGTCTTTCACCTCCTTGGTTAAGTTTATTCCTAGGTTTTATATTCTTTTTGATGCAATTTTAAACAGGATTGTTTTCTTGCTTTCTCTGATAGCTCATTATTTGTATATAGAGGAGCAACAGATTTCTGTATATTAACTTTATATCCTGCAACTTTATTGAATTCATTTACTAGTTCTAATAATATTTTTGGTGGAGATGTGAGGATTTTCTATATATACTATAATATCATCTACATATAGTGACAGTTTTACTTCTTCGTTTTCAATTTGGATGCCTTTTATAGGAATCTTAATGTGACACATCTAGATAGAAAGGTGACAGCTCTCATTGCTCATCTCTTTTCTCATTGCTCATCCTCTTAAACTGATTGTTCTCAAGTTTATATATACATATGTGTGTGTGTGTTTGTATTTAATACTAGGTATGTTGTTGCAAAATACCTAATAGACCTTAGCCTGTGTGATTCCAAAGGAACTAACAAACTCTGAGATTAAACATAGTATATTTCCAAGTATTTGAAAATATCGACTAAGAGGGGAGTGGTGATCGTATGTATTTGATTTTCCTGGAACTGCCAGTGAGCCCATAGTGCTTTCTGCCCAGATTCAAGGGGAGTTCTATCTAGGAAAAGGCAAGCATAGCCTGTATCTTAAATTATAGCAATTTACCAGTGACTTTATCAGGGAAAAGCCAAGGAAGTTAGAAAATAATTCAATAAAACAGCATTCCTAAGGTACTCTAAATAATGAATTGTCTTCTTTTATGTAATTCATCTTGCTCTTACGTTGTTTTGTGCTTCAGTTGCTTTGAATGTTAAAAAGACAGAGAGAGAGGGCGAGAATGTAGATGTGAGGGAGGTAGATTTTGAAGTGGCTGGTCACATTAACATTTAATATACATATTCTAAACTGTATCTTATTTGGGGGTCTAAAACTGACAGGTATGGCAATTAGGTAGAGCCAGGCCCTTCCCCTCGATAGGAAGTCTAAGATATATCAAAGATTTCCCCACATCCAGCGTTAGCATATACAGTGGGGCTTCTCTGCAAATGACTGAAGGAATTCCCTCCTGGAAAATCAAAACACAAAAGGCAGCCTTTCTGCCTGGTTTACCTTTGTGCACAGGGTGTCATTTGAAAACAAAGTGACAGGCTTCCTGGAATTTTAATGTACAGATATGCTTTCTCTTTCTAGTTGAAGGTTTTAAGTCAGAGCATCAAGGGCATGGAATGCTGGAATCATATTCTTTTTTTTTTTAATGATTTTTAGATATTTGAAAGAAATTTTCTTTAAATAGCTCTAGGACATTTCCTAAAGCACGTTCAGAGCATTGAGGTAGATCAGAGACGCCAACGAAAAGGAAGTTCATCAGATCATGCACTGTCAGAGACTGGTTTCTGATGTCTCCCAAATGTTTCTACTAGTGTTGGAAAGTATCACCATTGATGAATAAATTATGTAATTAGCATTTCTTTCCAAATATAAATTGTCTAAATTGCCCCTTTCTCCATCATCTTTTTCAACATCATTTTCAAAACTAACAGTATTTCCTTTGTTTTCTATGTGTTCATGCCAGCATTTATTAGAAGAGACTTGCTTCAACTAATATAATGCTCTTGTAGTGATACAGTCTTTTGTCAACTCCAGATTTTCATAAGTGATGAAAGGGTGGGATGGTAATTTGCATACAGAAAATATCTACCTTCCCAATTGAGCTGTCCCCCAATTAACTGCCTCATTAAGCATATCAAAGGACTGGTTTAGAATGACTAACATTTAACCTTTTCCATTACCCCCACATACTGAACAAATTCTCCTTTTCATAAGGCTGGTATCATTTTACGGTTTTCTTTTCATTTTCACATGTCTCTGTTTGCTGATTTGGGTTGGAAATCTGTGTACTTTGGGAAAAATCTCTGGTTAGATTTCTGTCTTGACTAACCAAGATTATTATCTCACAGGCTCTTGGTAGAGAATTTCACATTACACAGTTTTGCTTATTTCAGCCTCCCAAATAGTTTGAATGTGACCCACAAAATAGGGGGAAATTTAAAGCAAAGCAATTATATAAAGAATCATGTTTCTTGGATATAGAATGTATTTGCCAAGTCCTTTGCATAAATCCTTATACTGTACATATCTTTCCTTTTTTATCTACTTCTAAGAAGGTTTGGAATATATTGAGTTTTTAATCTTTTGATGCCATTAGAAAATCTGAAAGTCAAGTCAGTCTTTTTCTTGGACATAGTGAGGAAAATGGGAAAGGAGACTAGCATATATGCATTTAGTGGGCATGTATTCTCCAGAATGACTGCTGAGTTTGTCCTACTTAAATTCAGAAAATATGCCCTACTTTTTTAAAAATGCAGACTGAAAATAAGTATATTTACTGATCATGGAAAAATAAGTATACTCTCTCATGTTTTAATAATGTCAGTCATTTGAAAAAAATGAGCATTTTATTCAACAAAGATTTTCTGGGAACCCACTAAATGCAAAGTTCTGGTTGCTTTAAGCATACAAACATAAATTGTATATAAATCTGTACCTTCAAGGAGTTTATAGTTTCATTAAAGAAAATAAGGCATATACACAGATCAACACACAATATAGTTTGACCACTACCATTAAAAAACAAATAGGACTACCTCAGATTGTTAAAATTATTTTACTTACATTTTGTGAAATGACTGATTATTTCCAGTTAAGGAGAGACAGCTTCAACAGAGGCAAAATTTAAATGAGGCCTTGAAGATGAGTTGAATTTCAGGAGCTAAATGTTACAGAACTTGAGACAGCAAAGAGAAAATAGAGCATTTTGGTAGTAGTAGCAAGACGTCTATTATTATAGAATATGTTAAAGCAAGAGAGTTCCAGAAAAACATCTATTTCTGTTTTATTGACTATGTCAAAGCCTTTGACTGTGTGGATCCCAATAAACTGTGGGAAATTCTGAAAGAGATGGGCATACCAGACCACCTGACCTGCCTCTTGAGAAACCTGTATGCAGGTCAGGAAGCAACAGTTTGAACTGGACACGGGACAACAGACTGGTTCCAAATTGGTAAAGGAGTATGTCAAGGCTGTATATTGTCACCCTGCTTATTTAACTTCTATGCAGAGTACATCATGAGAAACGCTGGGCTGGAGGAAGCACAAGCTGGAATCAAGATTGCCGGGAGAAATATCAATAACCTCAGATATGCAGATGACACCA